ATTTAATAAAAATCTGACTCTTAACGAACCAACAAAGGACTCCATGCGTGGTTTTTAAGCGTCGTTAATATTAGTCGAAGTAACTGACGAGTATTCCGATGTAGAATTAGTCCCGTTCGATGGAACACTTTTGTGTTGTTGCATTTAACACTGATAAATAATATATATATATACAATCGCTCGCTAGAGATTCAAGGCCAAAGTGTTATTCTTAAATCGAAAACGTACTAACGTTATGTAGTAGGACTGTGCTTTAAAAACGCTTGATCCGAGTGAAGGTCCCATTGTAAAGACTTTGTATGGTGTGGCAATGAACTATTAATCTATACCAGATGATTGCTTGTAAGAACACCGGTGTAGAACTTTGTAGTAAAGTGTCTCGCTTCCATAAATGTTTCAGAATTTCTTTCTTCTTAGAATGGAGAACTCTTCGAAGTTAAAGCCAATGCTTTCTGTATTCTCCCTTACTTTTTGGACTTTGTACCTGGCGTGCCATGATCCACAAGCAGTGCAGTCACAACCCAATTTGTACGATCAGAGCGTCGAAATCCGTTTCGACAAGTTGGGGGTGGAAAACAGAGCAATGATTCAATATCACTTCCTCTGTAAAAATGTTTTTGCCAAGCTCTGCTCTCTAGTTTTTGTTTTTTAGCTTGTCAATCCTTTTGGACACTGAATACTTATGCGGAATACAAGACCACTGAGTATGTGTGTTAATGTGATTGTCTATATATGAAGATCAATACAACTGCTGTGTAGATCGATCTTATGGAAGGTCAGTTTTTTGTAGCTACTGATATTTTAAATCTTGTTAAAGTGATTTCGTGATTTCATCCATTCATTTCAAATTCCAATTCCACGTCACAGCTTTTCCTCGACAAGATTTCGTTATCAGAGTCGACCCTGTGATTCTCCCGATGTTCCAACATTTCCAAAGCATAGGTTTAGGTCTATTCGTCTAACAACTTATGCATAAATGGCGGATCCTGGTATAGCAGAGTTTTTCAGCACTACTTTATCTCTGAGACCGTCTATATGCCTGACATTTCCTAAAAGCCTTTTTTTTCTGGCATTCCTTGGGATTTACTAGTAGCATAGCGAACAGGTATGGTTTCAGCGATACTCTGCCGGTTTGCACAGTTTTAATCTTGGGCTTCTGGGACAGAGATAATGAACAGATCTTGTGTTCTATGCACTGCCGCATATACATCTTCAGTCCCAAGATGTATGTGTTATTATTTTAGGGTTCAGTTGGTTAACATCCATTGCAATTATACCTGTTAATTCCCAGTACATCATTTGACATTTTTTAAATAACTGAATAGATCATCTTTGTCTTCGCAATAATATGAATTTACAAATGTACAAAAACTCTAGAGTTAACGCTGAGAATTTTACGAGATTTTTTTGGTTGCTTGCAGGGTTAGTCGACTGATTCCATCCCTTTCGCGTTCTTGAATGCATTTTTACTCTTCCAGTGGAGTGAGTCAAAGACTATTTACACAATGGGGAAAACATCGGTTGTCTTAAGCGTTTCATTAAGAACTTATAAAACGAATCGGTACTTTTCCGACGAGTTTCACGTTTTTGTCCGTTTAAAGAGCCGGCATGCATACAAATCTCGACACAAAGATTTAAAGTGATGTCTTTCTACATCCCCATTCTTTGGCAAGAAATATCCAGGCACTCTTGTTGGCTGATGCTGACAGTCAACTTGAAAAACTGCGTCGTTTTTAACGCAGTACAAGTTTAGCTTAAAATCATTTTACTACAGTTTTAAATTGATGAAATTGAATGATGGTATTTCGTGATGGAAGAAAACATCACATTTTGGTGGGAAAAGGTTCGAACCTTTGAGTCATGTTGTAAGTAGGTGGAAACGCAACAACTTCCTTCACTGGTTTCATCAGCTGCGACTTGTTGTGGCTGTGTTTAGAAGTACGTGGAGGTGTATTTAACACTATTATTCTTTATAATCCGGTGAATTAGTTTTGTTTGAGATATAGAGAGATTTCAACTCTTTTTCAATTCCAACATCGGATGCTTTCTTGTAGTTATCTGGGAGGTAAAATCAAAGGCAATACTCTATTTACAATTCATTTCATAATGGATTTTAAAATGATTTCCACAGTTACTTTTAAAACGACTTTGGGGATTACGGCAAAAAATGAAGAGAAGGATAGCAATCTGAAAAAATAAAAGAAAGACATTTGCCGCCTTAATCGAAGTTTTCAGTCCATGAAAGCCTAGATGATTAGCCTATATCTCAATGTTCTCAAAGGCAAAGTCAAAAGACCCACAACTAAAGCAGTCAAGTTGCCGATTTCAGTGCTCTTGTTCACATTATTTGACCACCTCTTCAGTTAAAGCTCTGTTGCATGAGATTTGGAGGCCTTGATGACGTTAGAAAAATTATTTATAGTTCTTCACGTGAGATTATATACAACAGAGATTGAGTCAGGTATTTTCTCGTGATATCAAACTCTTTCGCGTACTGAAGAAGTTTAATCTTATTTACTCAATAAGTGTTACGAATGATTCTTTCGGCATTATACTGGGCTTTCATTAGTTAAGGTTTACCTACTTTCTACCCTTTTCTGGTAGAATAAGGGACAATCAGCTTCATTCTAAACAATTTTTGAATCTTTGCGCTTTCCTTTTTGCATTCGGCATTTGTTTATCGCTTTTGTTTCTAAAAAAATGCTGTATATGTAGACAAAACCATGGCTCCTTTGGGAAGTAAGGGTCAGAACAGATCTCGAAAAACAAAAGGAAAGAGGATTTCCTAAACGAAGAGGTAGAGTATCTGTTCAAAACAGGCAGAATCTCCTTCATCTTTTCTTATGTCGAAGTTGTTTCTATTCAACTACAAGCAACGAAATTTCAAACTGAAAGGTGTCTAAATTTTCGTGTCGATGGTCACTAGAACATTGGGCATAAAGTAACAAAAGATCGTGATTTTTTTCTTACCTGTACTGCATGTCCATAAGGTTTCCGAGACCTGGAGAGCTCCCCATGCCACGTACATGTAAATCCCAGTGTCACCCCAATGTACATTCTTTTTTGCTTAACAATTACCTCGAAGTCTAAAGGTGCATTTGTTTTTCTTAGCTGGGCTGACATGTACAGGAACCGTCTCATTTTTTGTTGTATCTGCTGTCGTATTTCAATAGTTTTGAATTGTATCGGTCAGAATTCATTCGCTCATAACGAATGGCCAGCGTCCTAAAGGCCAAAAAAAAGGATTTGCAGAAATTTGCTCCTTGCAAATATGTTGCAAATATATAAATACTGAGCAGTAATTATATAGCAAAGATGGTAAATGCCACATTTTCCTAGTTATTTACACCCCTTCTATTTTGGTATGCAAATGTGCCATTTACCATCTTTGCCATATAATTACTCATCAGTATTTACATATTTGTGACGTATTTGCAAGGAGCAAATTTGTGCAAATCTATTTGACCTGCTCTTGTATAGCTTGTATATTATGTGCGGGGAAAGCTCCCTAGAAAATTCACTTAGCTCAATATGAAAGCTTGTAATCCAGATGGAAAAAGAACTGGAAATGCTGATTTACGCAATTGTTTCCGTCGACCCACAAATCGTTATTTTTTTTTTTTTCGTTATCTATAAATCTTTTTCAGTTCAGTATTCTCCTTCATGTCCTTTTTCTAATATGCGCACGTGGAAACAACTGGTAATCGAAGCTCGCTTTTTGTTTTTTGTTTGTTGGTTTTTAACGTGTTTGACCTTAAGTCATGCGGTTCCCTTTTTCCCCACCCACGATAAGCCGCGTGTTTTTTCTATGTACCAAGGTTAACACATCACTTCATGGAAGCAAGACTCAAGGGAGGCTCTCGCACGCATTAATTAAACCAAACCTTTGATGTGTAGAATTAGAAGAAGGTTTAAAAATCATGGGGTTTTGTTTTCAGAAAAAGAGTGGAAAAACTTCCAGTGAGTGTTTTCACTAGTCTTAATATAAAGGCGAAAAACCGTTTGCAGGCTTACTCTTGGTAAATTAACTAACTCTTGACAAATAGTGTCGTATTTATTTCCTGCCATAACAAATAAAAGTTGATGCCACTAGAGATTGTATGCATGGACGGTGGCATCAAAAGATGCGGCGAGTCGACCCCTAGGATACTTATTAAAACGTTTTTTTTTTTTCAATGCTTGATCCTGGCTTAAGTTCCACCTTAGGAATTTAATAGTATCCTTACGTTAATCCTTTTTAAAGCCAAATCGGAAAGAGGTGCATCCTTTTTGTATTAAATGGCTTTTTCATTTGTGTTGGTGATTACTACAGCCAGAAGGTCTAGCTACACAACCACGTAACTTTCGCACTCTCCAATAAGGAAAGGATGTAAAACAAACAGTACGTTTTATTGTCATCATTATCATTATTATTGCCCTATTACGTGAACAAACTGCTCTACTTCTATTTTTTTAAGCCGTAAGACAGCTTTCATTTCAGCTGTTGCGCTCCAGGTTTGTTTGTCTAAAAATTTACATTAAAGTGGTCTTTAATGACCCCACTGATTCATTGAGTTAAAGAGGTTACACCCCATTAGACACGGTAATATAAGTTTCAGTTATTTCAATTCAATAGTTCTTTGTTTTGTCGATTGAAGTCTTTAACTTTAAACCACGCACTTGCATGAAATATCGGTACCCTATGACACTATGGAGGTAAACGTGTGGTCCTTAGTGGATGGGTTTTTAAATGTTGTTTGACAGATGTTGTGGTTAAATATCTTTTCAACTCCTCAACAAGATATTTAAATCTACCGGCGAGTATAGTGAATGATAATCGTGTGAAAAATGTGTTTTGGCAATTGTGGCCATTTGCTAGAGGCCTTCTCGCACACCACTGACGTAACAGCTCTATAATAAGATAAAGGATGCAATAAGATGATATATTGATAACAAAAGACCGCAAAGTCCATTTAAACATGATATAGCTGAAGAAAATCAATAAACGCCTTTAAAAACCACTCTGCTTGAGGTTCTTGGGGTGGATTCAAGGTTGCGGCTTGCTTGGAAACTTTCACTCTTTTCTTAGTGCCGAGAAATTTGAACAACTCATCGACGCTTTAACGCACACTGACAGGACGATGGTGTTTAAGGTACTACTATTTTCCTAATTTTCTTTCTTTTCCTCGTGTTGTTATATTTCTTATAAACTTGCGTTTTAAGTTGCTCATGTCTCGCTGTGCCTAGAAAATCTTACTTTGTTCCTTCCCTATAAGGATAGAAAGGATATTGCATTTTTTCCAAACGAGGAGCTCGCTTTTAGTTCTTTTTCCTTTCATTAGCATAAGGAGTTTGATTTTTTCTGTTCTGTCATATGCCGGTTTTAAACCTTTCAGTGCCAAATGTGGCCAAAGGCAAAAATTCGACAAAAATTCCTAAATTTCATTTTGCAAAATTTGAAAAAACAAAAAGCACCATGTGAACATACTGCCAGAGAGGATTTGGTCCACAGACTTAAAAGCAAGAGCCACCTTACAAAACCTCATCATTAACTCTGGCAGTAAAAGGATTGATGAATCATCAACCACTTCCATCCTCCCACTCTTGCAGTGGCACTTAATGCCCAGTTTTTAATGTATGTGTGTTTTTTCTTTCCTTCTTTCTCTCTTTCTTCTGTTTCCTTGTTTCGTAAAATTTGTTATTCAACAGTTGTGACTTGGCGCAGAATCGGCTCGCAAAGAGGAGGAAAATTATTACGTTTTAGAAACCGACTCAACAAGATTAATTGCCCAACGTGAATAGATTTAGAAGTTGATCAGTAGAGCGCTTGTCTTTTCTTTTAATACCGTTATCATGAGTTGCGTGTGTCTGTGCATTTGTCACATTCGTTTGAAGTATCACTATTTCAGCAGAATTTAAGTCGTACTTATGATATCCATGTAATGTTCTTCATTGTAAAGCATCCGTGACAAATATATGAATAACCCAGATCGATAAGGAACAATTTCAGCAATTTGGTTATAGTTTGTGGATAAAAGTGGGTTCTTGAAACATTTAATGTGAATTACGGTATGTTATCGAGGAAGCTATTGTAGAAATCAAAACAAAATTGTCAAAATCGACTGCACTTTCTCTTACAATATCTGGGCTATCAGACCGATTTAAATTACTGCAATTGACCCATTCTCAAAATATGAAGGAAAAAATCAAATCAGGGAGTGGAATTCGTACCCCTTCGCTTAAGATATTAACTGATCCACTCAGATAGCTATATAGAGGCACGTGATGGCCTCGTGTGCAGAGTGATCAGCCAAGTACACCCTGTTCGACGCGATTCACTACGGGTTTCTATTATTATAGTTATTCTCTTTTCATGTGGATATGGTTTACAAAATCAAGAGGAAAACAGTACAAAAACCTTATAATAATAATGATAATAACATTGATCATAATTCCTCGCGGCGCTGAGCGAAGTGAGTTTATAATCTCGTCGCAGTACGTGAATCGCGTGTGGGTCCAAGCGAGCTGCAAACTCGCAGCTTTCATCTTTATATATCCGATGGTGTCCGCCATGACGTCATACAATAGTTTGACGTCACGGCGCAATTTGTTTCTAGGCAACATTCGACTGAAAGCGATTATGACCAAAGTATTCATGAAGAGCTGTCTGTTCATCATCTACAAAACAATGTTTACTATCGGTGAATCTAAAGCCATTTCTCATGCACACAGAACAGCAAAGATGGAGACGGCATCAACAAAAAGCGGAGCAGAGGGAACATCACTCAATGAATTTCGAATGCTAAAGTACTTTAAGAGCAAATGGAAGCGATTTTGGATAATTAGCCTTAATATCTTAACATGTGAGCGAACATCGCGCGGGTAACAAAACACGTTTTGCTCGCAGACGAGGTTATACCGTATCGGCCTAGACCGTTGGGCTTCCATTCTTTACATGTAAATGCGATGAAATGCATTTACGTTGGGTTTTCACAGTCGAAACTGCAGTCATTCTTCTAAAAAATATCTTTCAATTCACGTTTAGTTTAATAAAGCTCGAAGGTTTTAATAATAAAATTTCGACAGGCCGTTTCGTGTGTTCCACGTGGCCTATTGGTAAAGGTTTGGCCCGGTGCTTCGAAAATCCTGAGTTCGATTCCGGGTATAACCTCTTTCTCTTCGCTTCTTTTCTTTTCTTTTCTTCTTTTTTTTTTCTTTTTCTTTTCGTTTAGTTTTCATTTTAGGTATAACAGTTTTGTTATGTTTCTATATAAAATTTTTAGATTTACAAATTTTCTTCTCGGCTTCACTTCCCGTTCCCCCGAAGTCCTTCGCGAGGTCCTGCGATTTACGTATTTCTAGTAATAATTATGACAATTTAGGGGTAGCACATCCACAAAGTGGTTCTTCGTCTCACATTTCTGGTCGAATTGGAATTCAACTGGAACCGTTGCTTTTTGAGGAGAGGGGAAGTGCAGAATACCCGGAGAAAAACCTCTCGGAGCAGAGGAGAGAACCAACAAAAGACTCGTGACCCACACATAAGGATCGGATTTGAACCCGGGCCACATCCGTGGGGTGCGAGTGCTCTTACCACTGCGCACGCACCCTTGCTTCCTATAAATAGAAAAACGATAGTTTACTCTGAGGCGCCATCACATTAATTAATTGTTTGCTCATTGACTTTTTTTGTTACTATTCCAGAATACAGCCTTTTTGCTTATTTTATCTCTGATCATTTGTAATGACGCTATCACCATTCAGCAATCCCCGTGTCAGATTCAATCATTTTACGCTCGGGAAATTGGGTCTGGTGAAGGCAACCTCCTTCGTGTTCATTTGGATACGGCTGGTATCCCGACAAACGTATCGATTAGTGGCTCCTGTGACAGCACTAAGATAAAGTTTTCAAGTAAGTTATTTATCTTTTTAGTCGTTATGAAGAATTTTAATTAGGGACCCAATTCACCTCATCATATAGAGCACTAAGCTTGTGGACAGTGGTTTTCGCTTCGCCCTGATTCGTTACTCAAACTCAGGACTGGCCATAACGTTTGCAAAATTTTCTATTGAATATTTCCAGAATTCATCGAAGAGCGAAGAGCCGTCAATGGATCTAATTTTGCAGTGTCCTTCCATTGGGAAATCGACAAAAATTATGTGTTGGCTGTGAAAGAAGGGAAATTAATCATTAAGGTAACGGTTGACTTTCTAACTGCTCTTTCTTGTCTACAAATCGCCCTATGTAAGGGAATCCAAGACAGTCTTCGATTCTGGATTCCACTCCGTGGATTCCGGATTCCGGGTAATCGATTCCGGATCTCTTTGTCAGTGGAACTTGGATTCTGGATTCCGATCGTTAGCGGGATTGCGGATGTCTTGAGCTGGATTACAGATTCCACAAGCAAAACGTTTCTCAGATTCGTGGCTCCGGATTATCTTACATGGGGCAATACAAAATATATCGCGCGCGTAGTGGCGTTTCCTAAAATAAATCGTTCGATATAGAGGGGCAATACTTGCTCTTTTGAGAATTTCTATTCACAGCATCTACGCAGTTAAATTCGGTTCCTAGAGAAACACAAGCCGAATTTCCCTTGTTAAATAGCTTGCCATGGTAATTGTCAGTACTCTTCACTTTTTAGTTTTTAGCACTCGTTATATGCATTACGTTAAACATAAAGCTGTGTTTGCCCTCCCTCAAAATAAAGCATCAAATTGAGGTCAAGATATTGATCAAAAGGTGTTTCAAAGGGCCTAATAATGATGAAGTTGAATTTAACATTTTACTCTGATATCTAAGTGGTAATAGATGGCTTGCTTATTCTTAACTCCTCTAGTTTGATTCTGGAAAAGAAACCTCTGACAGCCATTGGTTCATTTTGAAATCGTGTGACAAGCGAAACAGTGCACTTGTTGAACTGAAAACGATGACAACGCCTCATTTGTACGTGAAATATGGCTCTTCAGGAAATCCTTTTATGGAAGCATCGACAGACCGAAGGGCATGGTTTGAAATCTTGTCTTCGGCTTGTTGATCATCAAATTAAAGTGTTTCTTCTCTTTCTTAAGGAAAAAATAGATTGTTAACCTAGTGAAAAAGCAACCTATAATATGAGGTCAAAAACAATTGAAGTGCATTAGGACTTTCGTCGACTTAAAGATATTAATTGGTAAGTTATTTTCACTATGTTTTCAACAGTATCGTAGGGGTGTCAATATATGGACAAACCGTATATCGTCTGTTATGCCCCCTCCTCCTCTCTTAATTAATAAGCCCCCCTTCTCAGAGGAAGACAGTTAATAAGCCCTCGCTCTCTCCCTCCTCGTAGCCCCATCTTCACTCTCATCCTCAAAGTAATAAATATACGAATGTATTAATCAAGGTTGTTGATTATAAATGACGTTTACTGCTTGAACCCCTCAAAGTGTCGTTCCTTTCAATTTGCATCAAAATATCACCCAGCAAATCTCCATTTTCATCCAAACAGTCAGTCTACTAATCGATGACAAGAATTGAGATCAGACGGCTTGTCTCCTTTCTTTGCTGCCCCCACCTCACCGCCATAAATATTCAGCTCCCTCAAAATACTTGAAGAAATATCCCCCACCCCGAAGTCCCCCAGGGCTTAACAGAAGAGTTCCGGTTTTTCCTTGTCCTCTAGTTTGGTTATTCGTTATTTTCGTATAAGGTACTGGTCAATACTTGCTTTTTATCCGTTTGTTAATTTTTATCAAATCAGAGTATTCTCGCCAAAAATGTGCGACAACAGTGTTTTCCCTCTAGCAAATGGTATATGAATAAAGTTTAATCATAATGAAAATATTTGTTAGTCCTTTTGATTTCCTTAAACATTTTGATTTTTATCTATTTTATCAGGCATTTCTACTATTAATTTCCTCTGTCTATCCTAAGCGAAGGTAGATCTATTATTTTGAGGTCACGGCCGGGTTCTACGAGAACATTCATTGTAGATTCTTTTCATTGCCTCGCGCGGTTTCCAAATTCCTTCACAAGGACTAAAGCTTGTTGAGGTCTATGGGTTATTTGTAGCATTTAAGTTTTTTTCTCAAGTGTTAATTCTCTGTTTTGTGTATGTATGGCGAACTGACTAATCTTCGGGCTCTGATTGTACGCAGTATTTTTCATTTTTTTGCCGTGTATTTCCTTTTTTGTAAAGCCAAATTCTTTTCGCACGAAAGAAGATTGGCCCTTTTAATTCATCTGTTGTCGGTAAGGAGAGTGATAGGTCTCTAGTTACTTTTGTCGGCTCAACTTATTATTTGCAACTAGGAATAATGATTGAACAGATACTGAGAAAAAATTAAAGCATTCTATACTGGCAAACACTACAAAATACACTGTATTTTGCATGCCTTTCCCTTAAATACGGAACCCAGAACTCAAAATATTCAGACCAAACTCAAGGAAAGAGAGTTTATAACGGAGAATATTAAAAATTGAGAACTCCTGTTAAATTAAAGTAAAGCCTTAGGGAGAATGTATTATTTTAGGAATGAATTTTCTTATGGCTATTTATTATTTTTAGTAATAAACAAATTAACCCAGCCTAAATATTGTTTCAAATTAATAAGCCGTACGATTGATTAGAATAATAAACATCTTCGTTTTCTTCTTACCTCTATCCAGCTAAAATTGCTTTCGAAAACAATTAAATTCTCTTCTTCTTAACTTGTTAGTCACCGCTAGTCTTCTCGTTAAGAATCTCGCAATAGACTTTTTAAATGTACCAACTATGCGTTAAAACGAAAAAAACAATGGATCTTTTGGCCACCTGTTGGATGCCGTTGGTTGTACATTCATTATTCGTTACGCTGATTGGAAAGCCGAGAAACCGCGATGTTATGTTTTGCTTTCAATCACTAGTTTTGGACCTCGTTTATCTTGGGATTCTACCCTCTTTCATTTCTTGCGACGCATGCACCTCCTCAAACAGCCAGCATGATCAATCTAAGAAATTAAAACGCTTGCCAGATTTTGAACAACTTGGGAGAGCTTCTAAGTGTTTGTAAAATTGATTACTTTTAATTCACAAATAAACAATTGAGAGCTGCTTTCAGCCAATCAAAAGTCCAAAATACGGTCAGCAACCAAAAGGGAATAGTTTCTCCAGCCGGTGGCACATTTCTGACGCTGGTATTTTTAAAACTAGAATTTTAAAGGCGATATAAAGTCAATGACAATTCCATTGTAATTTCTACGGGCTATATCTGACCTATTTATATGTAATCACATCCAAAAAGACATATGTTTTGGTTTGCAAGAGACCCTTTATCCGTTGCTTTCAAATTTAATGATAAAAGCAAATGAAAACTTTCCAAAAGCTAAGTGCTTTGAAAATAGCATCTCATTTCTCTATTATATACTAGTTAGGCGAAACTGACCTAAGATTTACACCGTAGCCTTTTAATTGGAAGGCTGGGTACTTGAGAAATTCATTTATCTGTTCTTGTGACCCGTTTCTTGTAGTTGGTAGAGAATATGTTTTTGTACCATTTTTCCACCAAAATAAATATGGATGATAGTTTTTGTACTTTTTTGTGGTTCAAATCTATTTCTAATCTAATTTTATTGCAGCTTGGTAAGTATTAGGAAAATTTTGATGGCTGAAATCCCTTCTCAGAATCACTGCCCTGAGCTGAGCTAAGCAGGTACCGGTCAATTCAAGGCAAAGAAAACTTCACGACCGAGTAGCTCTTACTGGAAGTCTTATTCATCAGTAAAAAATGTAAAACACGTTGTGGCTCTACAGTTGTGGCGTTAGTTTCTGCCTTAAGAGCACTTCTTGTATCGTGCGGTTGTGGCTCGGTTGCCCTTTCGACGTCTTGGTTTTTCACTGAACACTTCTTTTGACATCTCGCTGGCCTGACAAAAAAGATCCGTTTAGAACCCATTGCCACCTGTTGAAACCAAAATTTTTGACCATGTAACCTGTTATCCGAACAATAGGTTCATCAAAACGCCATTCATAGTGACGCAATTTAGGTCAACATGACCGTGGAACTAGATTGCCGCATTTCAACAGGGCACGAGTAGAGCCTAGCTTATCTCGAAGGAGATAGTTTGATTGTTAATATGTCCGCGCTTTTCAGTTAGCTATGGATGTTTTATACTCTTTGCGAATTTGTTTTCGAATGCTTGATCAGCTCCGAAACTTTACCAGCCATCCCAATCTTATGAAGCGTTAAAAAAACCAGATGAACCAAAAAGTGAACTGATTAATTATTCAGCAATATCAGACGTTTAAGGGCCAGAGTTTGAAAGACGCGAAACACAATTCGAAGACAGCTTTGCACAAACAAGGTAAGAGAACTTTTTTTGTCTTAATTTCTATCATTTCTTCACTCAGTTTATTGGTTGTCTCTTGATGTTTCGATTAATTTATTAGTTATGGCTTCCTTTGGTTTTATTTGTAAATTTTGGGACAAATCAAATGAGTTTATTTTGATTTTTAGTCTATTTGTTTCGTGATCCGATTAGTCAATATTTAGAGTTAGGAAATTTTCAAGTTGCTAACATCGATTTTATTATTATAACCAATTAGTTATTTTGAATATATGCTTCGTAGCAATGTTTGGTTTTACAACTGCACATTTTACACTCACGAATATTTGGTCACTTGTAATTTTTAGTTATAAATTAAATGTCAAGGATTATCATTGGAGAATTTTCCAGCGAGCAGTTCAGAGATGTTAAGAAAAAAGTGTATACTGAACAGTTCACACTTTGCAATGAACATTGCAGCAAATTTCGAATTACATTGAAGGTTTTAGTTAAAACATGATAAATTTCTATTTCTCAAGCCTTCAAACTGGTCTAAAATAACCTTAGTTTGAACACGAGAGGACGTTACAACTTAAGTGACCGTTTGCTAATATTTCTAATTAAGTTGAATTTATTCAGTTTTTATTTTTCTTTATATGAAAGTACTGTATTTGTAAAGGAAACTTATGAAAATCTAACAAAGAGGATTTATATAAGTCACAGTTTGAGAGGCACAAGAAGTCATGTCAAATAATAAATAATAAACACTTTCCTTATCGACGTAAAGTTAAATTTTGTCTTTTTTTCCCTTTCGGTCAGATGCAGGGCTTACTACTAGTGTTGGTATCTGTTCTTTATATATCTTCCTTCGCTTCGGCGTCATCGCTAGGTAAGTCTCCGCTATATCAGTTTCCTTTAAGCAAAGACGTTTTCTTGTTTAATATTTTAGGAAGTAAGCTTTTGGCTGCTATGATTGGTTACTTCTCGGAAAACCATGTAAATCTATATTAAACTTAATGATAAAACCCTGACAAGGTAAAGTTACAAGCTGAATCATCTTCTCCGACAAAGACGGAATTATCTAAGAAAAAATCTAAAATAGGTAACTACCATAAAGTTATGACCAGCTTTGTGTAAACTTTAAGAATTATTAATGAGCTTGTAGAATCCAGACAAATTTATTGCGCGTTCTGATCAGCTATCAAAAATGAATGTTAAAGCGTAAGTTCCAAGTGCGATGTTATAATCATAGTTTCATAAGAGCAGATCCCGAAATTTATTTTATTTCAGAAAAGAATGAACGAAATTAAAGGAAGGGAGCCTGCTATGTGCGAAACTGATGATGATTGGTTGGCTAAAAAGAGCGTGAACATTCCAGTAGCGTAATACCAGCAGGCAATTATGAATAATGACCTACCACTCACCGTGTTTTGTTTTGTTTCGTTTTGGGTAGATTATTTTTTCTGGTAAAACATGCGATTTTTTTTAAGGTTTTCGTTCAGACGAATTTATAGCATTTTGCTAAATGAAAACGAGAGATCAAAACATTTACCATTCATCTTCTCAACATTGCCCTTGAAAATTGAAATTATAAAAGGCAAATTTCACGTTTTAAAAAACCGTTGTGATCAACAAACAGCGGCATGAATGTAAACAGATTTCATGGTATTACTCAGACCACTGTATTTTGTTGACAGGAATTCAAAATTGAAGGCTTTTGTTTGATTTTTTTTTTCTATTTTTGTGTCTCTGAAATGTGACGAAGCTACTTCATCTTATCAAGGTATCGACGAAAAAGAAGCTACTAAGAGAGGCTATGTCTTGATAGATAATTACATGGTTTACAACTTTACCCTTGACAGTCAAGGGTATGATGGCCCCGTTTGAATAGGATATAGTTCGCATTCCTAGCATATTCTGTTACTGGTACTGTTCTGAAAAAAGAACTAACGAGTTCTAATAAAACAATATTAATTTAACAGTAAAGATATGTATAACACAGTTATACATTTCATTCTTTTTTGTTGTTGTTGTTGTTATTGTTGCAGAACATCTTCGGCACTACAAAAGAAGTCCTAATCCGTGTCCGCCAGGTTGTCCCGAAAGTTGCGCCCCGCGTTGTACGGTAACATGTTGTAATCCAGCTCCACCACCACCACCACCGCCACCACCACCCCCTCCCCCACCTCCTCCACCTCCACCCCCCGGTCCCCCAGGTATGGATGGTCCAATGGGACCTCAAGGACCTCCTGGACCAGATGGTCCCAAGGGACCACCAGGACAACTCGGTCTCCCTGGACCAGTTGGACTTCCAGGACTTCCTGGTGCACCAGCAGGTAAATTGCAAGGAATTGCTACGAATTTCACTGTTCATTTTTCGTATCCTGACCCGGGTTGTTCAAAGCTGGGTTAAGATAACCCAGGGTCAGTGCTAAATTTGAATTCAGACACGGAAGCTTATAAAGTAAATCCAGTTTAATTCTTTTTGTCAACAAGTTGATGATTGGATGCTCTTAAAAATAACAGAGAAAATTATCCGGGAAATTGCTTTTTAACAAAAGAAAAAGAAACCCAGGTTAATTTTAACCCTGGGTTAAGCGCTAACTGGCCTTCGAACAACTGGGCCCTGTTCTTTAAATCTTCTTTCTGTGGATACCGGCTTCAATTAGAAATGCAGTTGTCGCTCAAGGTAATGTGAGGTAAAGTTTAGTGCCAAGTGTTTTTTTCTAGGGCTTGAATTTGATAAATCTTTATCATGCTTATTATCATATACTTGTCGAGGGTCAAACCTTACATGTCCATCGTATAACAAACCTTTCGCCTCTTTGGCAGCTAAAAGAGTCGTCCCAACCAAAGCACAGAAACAAGTTAATTACACTATAGTTAACAGAATCGAAACACTGGTGCTCGCAAGAATCACTGATTCCCTCAGGGGTATTCCATTCACAGATTCAGAGGCAGTCACGATATATTTCAAAACTGGACCACTCGCAGCGCAGCATTCATTTTGGCATTTTATCCACAAAATCGTCAGGCCAAAAGAAACGCTTTGTATAATTATTAGTAAACCGCGTATAGACTTTGCATTGGTTCATAGATCAAATTTCACCTTTTTTCTCTCTCTCTACAGGCCCACCTGGACGTGATGGCCCCATGGGACCCCCAGGCCCGCCAGGAAATCAAGGTCCTCCTGGCGATGCAGGACCACCAGGTAATGACTTTTTCGCGTTCAAAATCTGCAAATTTCACGTTCTCCATGATGAAATTTTGTTTTCCCCCACAAACTTTTGCATCCGTATTGTTTTCAATTTCTCTTGGACTAATAATCGTCCTTTAAGAAATTGGGGACGATACAATACCCTTGTATCTGGTGCTCGTGAGTTTGATCATATATGTCCAATCCTGGTAAAACTTCATTGGCTTCCGATTTCCTACCATGTTGTGTTCAAGTTACTTTTGCTGATTTTTAAAGCTCTAAATGGTCTTGGCCCTCGGTATTTGGTCGAATTACTTCAGTACCAGAATCATTCTAGGACACTTCGTTCAAATTTCCTAGAAATTCTTTTGCAACAAAAATCCAACACTAAAACAGTGCATTTTGTCCATGTGCTCCAAGACTGTGGAACAATATTCCCTTAAACCTTCGTAAATCGAACAGTGTTTCTACTTTTAAAAAAGATATAAAGACCTACGTTTTTAGGAAATTTATTAATAATGGTTTCATTTATTATTCGAGTTTAATGTTTTATATCTTCTTATTTCTATTTTATGTATTTATTACTATAAATAATTATTTTTAATATTGTTGTAAAGCTCCATGAACAACTGGTGGATGTGAGCGCTATAAAAAGTTTTTTTGGGGAAAAACAAATTGCATCTTGGGTAAAGCGAAAGACGTTCATTACTCCTTTTAACTTGGTCTAGTCTAGTCTGTCTCCATCAAGCAATCTCCCCCACAGGGGTAGTGAGTGGGCCATCTTCGCTGCACAAGTGCTACTGGCCTTCGGGTTCGAAAATCTCAAATCCCAGCCATTAGTTTTACACGTTAATAAAGATAAGAAATTTTCGAGAGAATCAATAATGAGAGAGAAATCACCTTTTCCTGTGTTCCAGGTCCCCCAGGTCTCCCCGGTGCTGCAGGTCAGCCGGCTCCCCCCGGCGGTCCCAGCCCCTGTCCAGTGGTCTGCTCACACACATGCATCCGAACCTGCCCGCCACCATGTTGCAAACGTCGCTAAGTGCCTGGAGACAGGTCGCTGGAGCGCGGCCATGTTACTTTAGTTTATATCAGTTTAAGAATGGATTTTTCTTTTTTTCATTAATAAAATGATTTCTCAAAAACAGAGGAGCGTGTTTACGTTGTCTAACTGTAGCCGTTGTTACGTTGTTTAGCTGAACGATAATGGAAAAAAGACAAAAGACTATTAGTATTAGTTACTCAAACTTACGGTTTTTATTTAAGTGTTAAAAGAATGTGTACAAACGTCGTTTAAGATTACATAAAAATACTTTCACAATCTACATGAAGACAGAGAACATCTTGTTCAGGAAGATAGTTTTACGAACGAAAACACATTGCTAAGAATGATTTGAACACGCCATAGCGCGCGCAGATGACAACACTCACGTCATTTCTTTACTTAATGTAAATGTCTTTCTCTTTTGATTATGTTATAAAACAAATGGTAAAAGGCTAAGCGTGTACTATTGAGTTATGTCGGATAACCTTGAATTTCTAAGCACTCAAGAAGGACCAAGAAGCTTCAGTCGCACGAGCCTTTAGTGCGTAGCAACCTCTCGCGCGCATGCGTAATTATAACTCAAAGTACACGCTGAGCCTTTCAGTATTACTTTTTACCTTAATCTTACTACTCATTGCCTAATTATACCTTGTTTGCGTACAGCTACTCTCCTTGTAAAATCGCCTTCAGGCCTTGCTTAATTATAGCTAAACTTGTCTAATCGTACCTTATCCGTGTATAAAAAACAAATACAAATAACTTTTTTATTATTAGTCTCCCTTCCGTAAGCAGCAGGACTCATAATCTTTAACGCGTTTTTCTTCGTATTTATGACACGAAAGGGGAGTCATTGTGCCTGGCGTTCCTGGCGGAGACCGTGGAAAATAGGAATAGGAATCGTTGCGTGATCGAAGCCAAGCACGTTTGGTGAATAAAGCTTAGGAAAGATTAAATTTAGAGCTTTTCCAAAACCTGTCGGTCGACGAATTGTATCGCTTCAAAACGTTGATTACTTTGGAACAAGTGAACACTAAGTGGTCGGAAAAAAAAAAGAATCTTGATTAGCAAAACTGCGATGGTCGGAAGGTGAAAACTTTCATTGGATGCAAATGGGTCTTGTGATGAGTATGCGGTTTACTTTCGGTGATGATTGAAATAACGTGCCATGTAAATCACTTTTTTGAACTCTGGTAATGATATTATTCGCTGTAATCGAGGCCCTTCAATTTTCGTGTAATAATACACGCGTATACCCTGCGACCGCAGACGTATTTCCGGTCGTCGCTAACACGCCTACTAAATCAGTTCAGAAACAAATAAAAAGTATCGACGTCGATAAAGTAGGAAGTAAAAAACTTCTAGCGAGTAAATCTTGTTTCGTGTACAATTAATCGCCTCCTCATTTCTCGATCTAACCTCCAAGCAAGTCAGACTGAACGCCGCTGTAAGAGCTTTCTTGTTCTCCATAAAATGGTTTTTCAGAACCAATATACAATTTCCTAAGAGAGTAAAAAGTATTATCTTTCCATATTATTCTCTGCTTAGATGGCCTTAGCGTGAGGCTTGCGAAATTTGATTATGATGGGTTAATGTTTTTGGTAAATTTCGATAACGTTACACTAAATAGACTCGATCTTCAAATGAACCCCATCTTTTGGAGCCAGGGTATTACCAGCATGCATGGCCATAGGCACTTGAGTCTCGGGTGATCGCACAAACTTGTATTTCAACAGGATTTTTACCAACAGTATCTTAACCTCCATCAGGGCGAGCCTCATCCCAAGACATATCCTTGGGCCTGCTCCGAATGGCATGAACTGATATGGGTGTCGGGTTTCTTTGGCAGGGCTTCGGAATCGCTCGGGGTCAAACTTCTCCGGGTCTTCCCAGGCATCAGGGTCGTGATGAAGAGTATAGAAAGGTATAATTATTTCGATGCCTTTGGGGATTGCAATGCCGTTGACGACGCAATCTTGGGTGCACTCGCGATTCAGTTGATGCGCCGGCGGGAACACCCTCAGCGTTTCGTTTATGACACAGTCAAGGTATTCGATGCCTTGTGATATCTCATAAAATGAAGTGCTCGGGTTCGCCTCCATGTATTCACAAATACACTTTCGCAGCTTTTCTTGGACAGCCGGGTATAAAGCCAAATGGTACGCGGAAGTGGAAAGTGATATCATCGAGGTCTCGTGACCTCCAAGGAGGAATGCTATGCACTGGGCGACGATTTCCTCATCAGTGATTTTGCTGACCCCATCAACGTTGGACTCTTGCTGCGCTTTTAGCATAAGCTGCATGAGATCCTGACGTTCCGGGGTCCCAGACTCCCGACGCTGACGAATAATCTCCAAAGCGACCTTTCCAAAATAGCCCATATTGGATCTAAGACTTAATAAAAGCTTTAGAACCGTACTAAGGATGGGAATGCGACTAAGGATGCGTAATATAAACGGAAATGAAAAGGCGCTCCTTACTTTCTTAAGAAGTTTCTCGTCTGGATCGGTTTGTACGTCTGCTTTGATACCAAAAGCAGTCGAGAAGATAACTTCTAAAGCCAACTTACTGAACCAGTCCATAACATTCACTGTCTTTCCTACAAAGAAATTAAAATAAAAAAATATTTTTGGAATATTGCCATGGAAACTGCCTAATATCAACTTTAACTCGAATCAAGGACATGGCAACAAAATGAAATACTTACGGCACGACAGTCGGAACATTTGAATGGTTGCAAAAGCCAGGAATTGTATAGTAGCAATACAGCGAAATAATTTACTACAGTGACAAGAGTGAATCAAAAGGAGCCACCAGTCCAGCCCAGTCCAGTCCAGTATGTATTCATCCCATTCAGCAATCCTGTTATCACGGAAATGCATTGCTGAATTGTCGTTCACTCAACGCAACGAAGCCAGCTTTCACTTGCGTAAGTGGAACTGGCAGACCGCTACAAATATCTATGACTAATCAGGAAACAGCCTTGTCCTCTCCTATGGGTAGAAGAGAACCCTGGAGAGTGACGAGGTTGATCAGGTCAAACAGCTCATATTCTCTCTTGACTCACGTCAACTAGGGACTTTAAGATCCAACGACGCGGACGACAACGAGGACGTCAAAAAAACAATAGGTTTAATTAGCAAAACAACAACTTCGCACGTGCATCACACTTTTTTGTACATTTCTTTCCCGTTTTTGCACGACTACGACGTGAAAATGCCTAATTTCGCGTTTTATGGAGGACGTAAACAACCAACGACGAAATTTTATTTTTCTTTCTGAGCTTGGATATGGTCCCTTGAAATTCAGCTTCAGGAGGGTTCGCCTACAATTTACAAAGTAAGTGGGTAGGAATAATCGCTATAAAGACTGAAAGAACGCAAATTCACTTTTTAAGCGACGTTCTTGTCGCCGTCGCGTCGTTGGATCTTAAAGTCCCTATTCTGTTGATGACGTCCGCACAGCTGGTTGGAAAATCTGGACTGGACTTGACTGGTCTTTTTTGTGGAGGGCAGCTAGTGGATAGAGTATTGTCAACAGCCAAAGAAGCGGGGATTACATTGAGAAGGGAGGTGCCGTTCGCTCCCGCTCGTTTGGTCACCTTTCGATTTCAAAAGCGTCACACACTTCCGTTAAACATCGATTTTCGATTTTCAAATCGATTTTCGTTATCCTTAGTACATTGTAGTTATCTGCAAATCACAATTAAGCAGATAAATAAGCTTTGCTTTTTTTCACCACGAAAATTGGCCGCTTGACAAAAAAATCTCATATCCGGCAGGTTGGCGATGAATCATACATCGCGGGATGAGCGCTTTTGTTGTTCATAAGAACATGCACCGTCAGAACTACAATCATGATCTATTCTATCATCCTCTTACCCGTGTCAGCAATTTGATCAAGTTCCTTCAGAAATATATCGCACGACTCTTCTATCAGAGGAACCATAAGTTTCATTTTCTTGGAGCTAAACGATGGCGTCAAAATGTTGCGAATCCGCTTCCAAGTCTCGTCACGCGCGGAGAACACATTTGCATTCATTGGTGGAGGAGGTAATGGTATCATTCTATTGTGAAACGACATGAAATCCTTCACCATGACACTCTTCAGCATTTCTGGGTCTGCGACGACTAGAGAGGGTTTTCTTCCGAGCGAAACAGCGAAGACCTTTCCGTATTTCTTAGCATAATCGAGCATCATCAAGTGAACGCTGCCGTACTTACGAACATCGAGAATATTCCCAACGAATGGAATAGGTTTCGGCCCCGGAACCTTGAGACGCTGAAGAACTGAGAAGCCAGTTGTTCCATACCAATAGGAGAATAGCAGCAAGGCAAATATTGTAGTAATAATGACAGTTGGATCCCAAAATGAAAGCTGATCGGCTGTCATTTTTTCCCCAAACTCAGACGTGAGACTGCACCTTAATTGTTCACCTAATCAAATCAAAATAAAATCCACACTTTGATTAGTCACAAACACACGGCTACTCCTTCGTTCCTTTTCCCTCATAGCTTTTTATAACGTAAGTAACAATGGACCTTAATTGCGCCAAAAGCAGGACTTTCGGCGACACTAAACGCTTCTTACTCACTGGGTGACTCCCGTTAGAACAGATATAATAGTAATAATCTCGATAGCGTGACTCTTCATCTCTTCGCTTAGGTCAATGTTTAGATAACATCGACGAATAAAGCCGAACAATGGGTTTATTTTTAGACCCCTTTTTAATTAATACACTGCAAGATGTTTATTGTGAAAACGTTTATTAGGGATTATCTTTTGACAGAAGACAAAGCATACCTCCATTATCTGTGGGAACTAAACAAATATAAACTTTCCGTGTTGTTAACCAGCATGGCTACGTTACTTGGTAGTCTGTCATATTTGATCATGCTCTTATAAAGGCCTACACATTGGAATTTTATAATTTCAACTGGGACTATCTTTCTCTTCTTATTCCTTTGACCAAAAACTTGTTGTCCTAAGCAAAACAAATGCAAATTTAAGGGCTGTTTTAAATCGATGTTTTTATAGTGTAAAAGGCTTCATTTTCTTTCTAGACTTCACCTCTGACTTCACCAAACACTTTTTGTCGATCCATTTTGCATAAAAACAATATTATAAAAACAATAGTTGCAAAATAGTCAATTTTTTTCACAAAAACGATACACTAACTCCTTTAGAAAAATGCAAGTTCTGAAGCTCTTTTTAATCGTTCTACTCTAAAAGGCTTTATTTTCTTTCTAGAACTTCACCAATTACTTTTACCCGATCCATTTTCAATAAGAACAATGTATATGGTTGCAAAAAATAATGTCAAATCTTTGACAACTACCATGGACTAACCCCTTAAGAAAAATGAAAATTTGAAGGGGGGGGGGGTTAAATCAATAATGTTCCAGTCTAAAAGGCTGCATTTTCTTTCTAGAACCTCACCAAACACTTTTTCTCGATGCATTTTGCATATAAACAACAGTTGGAAAAATGTCAATTTTTTTTACAAAAACCATTCGCTAACCCCTTTAGAAAAATGGAAATTTGGAATTTTTTTAAAATCGATATTGTTCTAGCCTAAAGGGCTCCATTTTCTTTCTAGAACTTCACCAAACACTTTTTCTCGAAAACAAACGATGGAAAAATGTCCATTTTTTGTCAAAAACCATGGACTACCCCTTTTGGAAAGATGATAATTTTGCGGCTTTTTTAAATTCATGTTTTTGTTTGGAATATGCTTCATTTTCTTTCTAGACCTACAAGGATCCATTCTACATAAAAACTATACTGGGAAAAATTACAATTTTTTTCACAAAACCCATGCATGTGCACTGACCCTTTTAGAGAAATGCAAATTTGGATTTTTTTTTTTTTTAAATTGATGTTTTTATAGTCTAAAAAGAAGAACTTCAAAAAAAAAAATTTTCTCCATCCATTTT